TATTATTAGGGTGGATATTTATTGAAAGAGTTTGGTAGGGCTGCTTTTAGATTTCTGTCAAACTCGAAATTTTAGAAAAATTCCTCGAAATTCCTTTTAAAATCAGTTGACATCGAACTAAAATCACATTGAATTCAATTGAAATTTAATCAAAATTCCTTTTACAATCCATTCAAATCGAATTAAAATCACGTTGAAGTTTAATGAAAATTCCTTTTAAAATCAATTGAAATCGAATTCAAATCCCGTTAAAATCAATTGAAAGTTAGTTAAAATACTTCTGAAATCAATTGAAATTGAGTTAAAATTCCGTTTAAAATCAACTGAAATCGAGGTAACATCCCGTTAAAATCAATTGAAATCGAATTAAAATCCCGTTAGAACCCATTGAAATTTAATCGAAATTCCTGTTAAAATCAAATATTGAAATCCAATGAAACTCAATTGAGATTTAATTAAATACGGCTAAAATTGTAATAACATCAATTAAGATCGCATTCAGTTCTTGTATATAAAATCCTAAAGTCCTTTATAAAACAATATAAAAATCAATCAAAACCTAGGATGTCAAGGCGATCCCTAATTCCTTTGGGTTTTCAACTATACCCCCCTCATGACCTCAAAACCCTTAATTCATTATGGTCTGGCTCCTTTTAAAAGTAGCCTTCCCCCTTTTAAAATGCTCATGAGGAATTTTTCGGGCCTTGGAATTTATTATGTATTATTAGGTGGGTTTTATTAGTAGCGGGAACGGATTAATTTGGAATGAACATGGGGCATTTGTTTCTCCCGCGCGATATTCAAGAAGCAAATCTCAACTAACCTCCTCATCGCCGCAAAGCTGTACCTGCCATCCAGGAGCAGAACCCGAAAAGGCGCAGAGCGGGAAGTGAGGGCACCATTGCACACTGGAGGATAGGAAGAGGCCCCATGGAGCACTTCTGACCACTCTGGCTGGGGCTGAGACTTCTTACTTAATCTGCTACCTTCTGCGACCCCTGAACCTCCAAGTACTGAGGCTATGAGGGTCCTTTGTGCCTTGCCTGTTCCTCGGGCTACCGGAGCCGGGCCGGCAATTGCATTCCATGTGCCGTGGGCTACGACGCGAACACTCGATGGTTCCGGGGAAGCACAGCAAAGCCATGAGGGTACAATGACGATAACGTATGATGGCTTGAGTCATCAAAGAGCTTGGCATGTGTTTTGCCGAAACAGTTTTGCTTCAGGTTGTATTTGCGTTGGCTGGCCGGTGCCAGTGTGGCTGCAATGCTTGGAATCGTCTTTCTCCTGTGGCAAAGGCCAGCAGCACGGCTCTGCTCTTGATGCATCGGCTGAAGTTTGGAAGATAGGTTTGACTTGCTTGGATGGTAGGAGCCGACAGCCTTCGCAGCCCGCAGACGCCGCAGATCCTGCTGAGCCTGTTCAGCTGCCGGCAGGGCCGCCGACCGTTTTGAGCGTGCCCCTTCCGCATGAGTGGACGTGCATAGACTGTAAGATAATACTATAGTACTATTCTATTATAGTAAGTTCATGTCAGTTAGTTGTAGTACTATAATACTTTAGTATTACAATCTTGTAGTACCCCTAAACCCTAAGATTTGCGGTGGTCTGCGACATGGCGTTATCTTCTGCAGTTCAGGTGATGCGGCCCCTGTTAGCAGCACAGGGCCCCTTGCTGCTCCAGCTCTTCCAGCCCCTGGGTTGCTGTTAAGAAATTCAAAGGAAGTTACCATAATTTGGGTACATGGGTCCAGGGTTTACTGTGTAAGTTACCATGATACGGATATATTGTAAATAACAAGGTTTCTCTATTATGGTCACGAAATTTGAGTTCCGTAACTGCAACTCAGGCTCTGGGGGCTCTTGGTGTCCCTCCGCCAAGTCCAAGGAACCGGAACAAACGACAAAGAGCCTGCAGACTCCAACATTCCCTGGGTAGAGGAGACTCCAGCCATTTCTTCGATCCTTTGCAAGTCCCCCCCCCCCCCCCCCCCCGAATCTTCTATGTGGGGGAAATTGGGGGAGTGGGTCCTGAAAACAATCCTACACAATTTCCTTAAACAGCTCTTCCAGCGGCCCTCGGCAGGAGTACATCCAGTGGCTGCAATTCACGGCTCAAGGCTTTCGCGATGCAACAAGCCTGGAGTGCTGGTTGGGGGCAAGGACTTGAAGATCCCTTCAAAGCAGGATTAGTCCATCTGGGTCTGTGAAAGGGACCTCATTTGTGGAAACCGCCAAATGAGATCTGCGCAAATCGAGGTTTTGCTCCATACAGATCGCTGCTTGAACCTGCGACAGGACGGCCAACTCCTTAACGGCACTGGTGGGGCCCTGCGTGCCACTGGCACTGCTGGCACTCTGCATGGTGCCAGAAGTGGTTTCTCATGGAACCGGCGCCATCCTCAGCCCTCAGTCTTGGGAGCATTGAGACGTGAATACTTGTAAGCGACTGCCTGCCAGTGGAGGTGTCAGCATGGCTCTGAAGCTGCTCACGCTGCTGTACATCGGGGGCGCGTCCAACTGCGCAGCACTCATGCGCAAATTATGGCGACCTCAGCCAACATCTTTGGTGATGTAGGAACACTGGCCGTTTAAGGTTCTGCAAATATTATAGAATTTGGCAAGGCACTCATGCGCTGCCAAAATGTCGACGGAGGCAGGTGGGATTTCGATGTCATGTTTGCTCACTTGAGAATCAATGTAGTGTCGATGATCGAACCAGGGAGAGAACCACTGGGAGATTTCGCTTTCCGGGCGGTGCTGCCCGACCTCAAGTGCCAGGACCCTGCCCCACTAGTCACTCGGCTGCGCCTTCGTCTCGAACAAGTTGAGCCTTCCTCTAGAATCCTGCGAGTTTTGGATTCTCCTGCAGCTTCCTGACCTTCTTGCAAGGAGCTATCCAAACATGGTACAGCACTGCAAAGTTTAAAGCGCGCAAATTAGGAGTTGGGAGTCATTTTGGGCAAAAAGAGCCAGCAGCTGAATCACTCAGCAAAAGTGCCTCAGGCAGATGGCATCGCCTGGATCTGCGCTTTTTGCTACGGGCTGCTGATCCCCGGCTTCTGGGTTGATGCTGAGGAATTCCATTTGGGTCTTGACCTATAGTGCAAGAGCGAGCTACTCGATTCGCTAAAATCCACCTTACGGTATCTTGAGCCCAAATACCAAACCTTAATCTTTATCCCCGAATGCTTAACCCTAAATTAGCAAAGCCTACACCCTTAACAGCAACCCAGGCTTCCTGGCATACCTGATGTTCAAACAGCACATGGCCTTGGCTCCAAGCCGTCGTTTCCTCACTCCGGCAACTTGGTGGAAAAGAAATGGAAACTGCTAGAGGGTTTAGGGCTTAAGGTTTTCGGGTTTGAGATTTGGGTGTTAGGGTTGAAGGTGTGAGTTTTGGGTGTAAGGTTAAGGCCCGTTAAGGCTTTGAAGTGCTTACGGGGGGGTTGGGGAGAGAATGTAAGTACCATTATGTAGGGTTTAGGATTTACCCTGCAACGCAGCTCTGAACCTTGAACGTTAAAGTAGGTTTAATTTTTTCTCTCTCCCCCTTTTGAATACGAGGCAAAGAGCGTCGGAGGCGTCATTGAGGTTTGGGTCTTGCCCGTTGAGGAGTCCGAATCCTTGCAGGGGCAGGACACTTAGGGAAAACTGTGTTGCTGTTACGGAACTTGACTTAACCAGACAGATGTGACACATTTAGAGAGACAGAGAGAGAGCTGGTATCTTGTGTGGGTTCGCAAGGTTCGCAACTGCATATAAGTTTCTGAGCAACACTCCAGCTGAACAAGCAAACCTGTCGCGAGCGTGCTGCATGCCGTTGCAACAACAAGTCTAAGGCTGACAAAATTGTGTTCCTTTTTTGGCCCATTACATCTTCGGAACCTGACAAGCCCCTCAAGTGGAGGATGCGAATGACGAGATGAAGACAAGGAGCCTTCTGGCAGCAGCGGTGGCCCATATATGCATCTGCTTCACCGGCAGTGTGCGGGTGGAGCTGCGTGACGAACGTCTGACACTTTACTGCAAACGATGATTCATTGCATATTGCTCTACGTGGGATGCTAAAAGGCTTGCATGACCGCACATACCTTACACCTTGAAATGAAGGGCCTATCTTAGCACACATGCAGGATAATCCTGATTGTTAGTCCCAACAGTATCCGGTACAGTACGGCCAGAATATACCTTACATGATATTAGGACCTCTAATATGTTGTATGATATATCCCCTCGCTTAGGGGCATTGGGCTCTCATACTCCGTATTGAAGCCCTATACAACTCCACTGTTCATTTGATTTGTCATGTTATTTTCCATTTGATTCTCGATTATTAGCCTAAACCTTAAGCCCCCCATAATCCCGAAACCCTGTAGTGATGATAACAGTTCTGATATACACCCACTATTTAACAACGGGGTATTGGGGCCCCAAGCAACCAACAACCCAAGGATCCTGAAGTCGGGGCAAGAAAAACATGAGCCAGAACGTCTGGACTTGGATGTAGCTTGGTACCAACAAATGTGGGTTTAGAGTCTAGGGGACAAGCTTTCGGAAAATGAGGGGTCTCTTTTGGGGCCCCTTTACAAAAAGACTATACTATACAAACCGGCCGGCCTAAGTCTGGAAACTCCCAAATGGCAATGTGGGCAGCTTTCGCTTCTATGGAGCACTGTGCAGCAAGAGACGGTACAATGACTTACAAGGTTTTAGTGTTTCCTTGTCGCCCCATGTTGCCCCATTCAGGCCAGTCATTGCTACATGTCTCTGACATGAGCAGCAACCTATTTGAAAACAAGTGTTGGCCACTGAGGCTAGCAGTCTCGTTTGGAAGGCTCCTTGGTTGCTGTCAAGAAACTTCCGCCAAGTTGCCGTCATAGGGAATTGTGGTACAGAGTGTGGTCCTGTCATTATACTAGCTTGATTGCAATTACTCAGCTATCCAGGCCTTGCAGAGCAAGAGCGATGCAGATCTTCGGCGCTGCCAGGCTCTTGCGAGGCGCGGCTTCCGTTGCCAAGATATGAGGGTTTCCAGGTGTTCTGGGTCCCCCTGTGTGGGGTTCGTATATTAAGGACTACACTACAATTCTGCGGGGGTGTATCAGGGGGGCCCCACTTCTTAAAACTACCGATAAGGGATGTGGGTTTCTTATGTTTTCTTGTGCGTGTATATATTCATACGAATATTGGTGTGCACTTGGGAGACCATGGGTCATATGGCTGCTTCTCAAAGTCTGCTTACATCAGCTCTTTCGACTCCCTAACTTCCCGAACCCTAAATCCTGAACCGTCAGCCCCAAACTCCCTTGGTAGCCCCCATATATCCCCAAGGCCCCTAAGATCTGCCGCATGTTTTTGAGACTTTCATGGTCAGAGTTCCCCATATGTCCCGTGTGAATTGATTTAAGCATCAAGTTTCGGGTGTTTTCAAAGGGTTCACAATACCTCCAAAATGATGTTTAGTGATGTCATATAGGGAAGCCTGTGGGTCGTTAAAGCTATTGTCCGTTTTTGCCGTCACCAGCACATGACGGCGGCTGTTTTATATTTGGGAAATCAAACAGGTTCCACAGTGTTGACAACCCCAAATCCTAACCCTTCAAATCGCCAAACCCCATATGCACCCACTTGCCATGACGTTTTCATCCTCCACTTTCTCAAGGACCCCTGCCAAGTCCTAGTCCCCCCCTGGATCTGATGAAACAACCTGGGCTGAAGGTCTTGACCCACTTTAACGCACATGCGACAAAGATGTGGTTCCCGTTCGAAGGATTATGTAGGGGCCTGTACCAGCCAGCATTGCACAAGATCGTGCGAGATCAGACGAGCTTGCACGCAAAAGACATCGCCTCGCCGGGTCGTTGAGTCCTGTCGATCCCGCCTGGTTTTGGTGATCCCGTCGACTCCGGCTTTTCTCTGCCCTCCTCCGCCGTTGAGTCCCGATGTCTTGCAACCTTTCCTGGCACGGTCGATTCCGGCGCATGCCGCTAGAGCCGCTAGCTGAACATAACCATGAGGTGCCCGAGAGGTGATTTTACCCCAAAGCCCCTTCTCTGGCCCCCCATGCTTGCACCATCCATGGCGGGGCTTTTAGGAGGGGATCAGCGCTGACTTTTCGCAAGAGGTTTTACGCAGCACGAAAACGCACGAAATCACACGAAATCGCACGAGATCGCGCGATGCAGAGCCGATTGTAGTCCAGACCACACGAAGGAATTTCCGACCAGGAATCTATAGGGCCATCGGCACAACAATTGGTGTGACTTTTTGGATATGTTATATTGGGGTCTATATTGGGCTCATTCGTGGGGGGAATCCCCACTCAGTTCTGGTCTTGTGAGGTGTGAACAGAAAACGACAAACAACAAATTGTTTGGGGGCGGCTGGGCCAAAAACTCCGGAAAGCATGCCAGAAAAACATGGAATAAGGTTGCTCCTTGCGTGCAGGATGCTGATGGAGCGGTACGTACTCGAAGATGTCGCAAGCTCCGACCGCCACCTGCTTTTTGTTGGTCACGTATCACGGACTGCATTTCCTGAGCTCGTCTGAGCCAGGGTAAACTTTGTGGGCATTTTCTTCAAAATCATGCCTATGTAATCCCGAATAGGGAAACCTTATACTCCCTATGTAGTCATGTGTCTCGAAGGTCACTAAGGACCCCTGAATCACTTTGCCTGCCAACGCTGTGTTCGGAGACGAATGCAGGTTGAAGAGCATGTGTTGTCGTACCTTTACATGGTCATAGATGTGCAAGTGTGCCTCAGGAGTTGTGGCAGGTGCAAAGGAGCTCTTCGTGAAATATGCTCCTGGGACCACTTCAGCTAAAGGCTTCCAGCAGGTCATGCCACGAAGCAAGCTGTCACCATGATGCACTTCAATGACAGGGGCTCTTCACTTGGAAGTTTCTTGAAACACATTCAACCCAGATGCCTAGCCTGCCAGGTGTGCATGCTACCGAGCATCAAACGTTAAGAAGTAGCAGTAGTAGTAGTAGTAGTAGTAGTAGTAGTAGTACGCGCGCTTTATGTATTTGACGACCCGTTATTCTGGCTGTCCCGTAACTGGAGAAGTAAGAAAATACTGCAAAACGCAGTACTTCGGAAG